TTATCTGAGAGTAACTGCTTTTGTATTTACCAAGAATTGTCGACGCTCTTCAGCCTCCACCCTCTGCTGTAAGCCCGCCATCCACACGTTATCCCTCTCGTCGCTGTCCAACATAAGACACTCCCAAATCCGTGTCGTATATATACAATCTGATTTCCTGCTATTATGTTCGCAACAGTATAAATCTTCGTCAAATCTGTTGTGATCCCGCAAAAGCGGTTTGTTGCCAATTTCGCGTTCGCGGAGAAGTATTGCCAACGTTGGCATGCATTCTGTAAGACGTAGTCGATGCATGGTGGACTAACACTAAAACTAAGCATACAGCCCGAGATGTTCGTACCCGAGAAAGATAAAAATCAAATGCGCTAGCATTCAAACACACGTTATAATAACTTCTACATCATAATGTGCAAGCGTCTAGGTACATGTTATACTTACCACTACATCTCCATGTCGCGATAATGTTGTGAGGACAAAGCATCTAGATACTTACCACAACATATTAACGTTGACACATTTCCATGCAGCGATAAATGATAACACATAACTAGACGCGAAGTCACGAAAGGAGGTTCCAGCGCGGGCCCAGCAATTTTCTTTCTCTCTCCCTCACGCGGTATCTCCGTCCCACCCATTGCATCATTCTCGCGCGCAATGTAATTCGACAAAGAAATAAGGAACGAATAAAATTTAACACATAATGTATATTTAACAGACAATGTATATATATTTAGCAGATGATTAATACATTTAACACATAATGTATATATATATTTAATTATGGAACGCATCATGCACAATATGATCTGACGCGTAAACTATGAGTTCACATTCAATAAGCGACGTTTTATCATACACCTTACGCAAAATATTTATCGCATCGTCTTTATTCACAAGACATCGTCTTTATACACAATTGTGACGTAAATAATCGACAAAATGCTTAAACTTATTGCTAACGGCGTCCGTATTTTGATTTAAATTTAAGTATGCATGCTCAACGCAATGTTCGAGTTTGAATATAAAAAGCAAAGTCAACGGTTTCATGTACATACAAGTATCATTCAGCGTCAATTTAACAATATTTTCATTACGTATTTTTACGAGATCTACAACTAAATCTTGAATTCGTAGTGAGGATGGAACGCTTGACTGTGGAAATTGTTCAATGTCCATACGTCTCTCGATAAACATCCTCCACATTCCATAAGGCAGGATAATGTGATTGCCTCGGTTGTCACCAATAAGTATTTCCACATAAGATATAGATCCCACGCTGATTTCAATATCCAAGTGTTTAAAATTAGTGGATGTTAGAGCGAATCTCCTTCCCAATATACGAGGCATCTTCGAAATATGAGATGCAATTCTGTAAAAGAATTAAAGCATGGAAAAATATAAATTAAGCGTGGAAAATAATTTATTGGAACTTACGGTCTTTCAATCACCTCATCCTTCAGCGGAACGTAGTAATCCATATCTATTATACCCACTCTATTACCACGTCGTCGTCAAACTTTGTTTCAAGTGCGCGTTTCAAAATGCGAGTGACCCATCCATACTTCCGCCGACTTATATCTGTATCCCCCCCTCCAGTGTTCACCTCTATATAGATCCTCTCTCTAAAGATAACTGATATTGGCGTATCACGGGCGTAAAATTCATCGGGCTGCTCACCCGCTTAGTAAAAAAATACGGATCTCCACCACACATCTGAAGATGATTCATCTTCAGTGTAGCGATATTCACTAATACCACGAATAGTTGAATGACATGTTTGAAGGAATGACACTGTCACATCATTCCAATATATATCACGATAATGGTTAGTACCACACACCTAACGTCGCAAATCGATTAGTAATCACATTTGGAAATCCGCATTCTCTTTCACGAAGAAGACGAACTATCGCAGAACAGTAACTTGTTTTGAATTTGATTCCATGTTTTTTCCCGTACTCGCGAATCACTCGCTTGAGCGTAGCCATGTCTCCTTCGCTCGACATTTTTTACAATGTGAAATCTTGCGAGCATTTATAAGAGCATTTATACGAGCAGCCATAATGCCTCGCAATGAAATCACATCGTCGAATATGCGTAAAAACTGCAATTTAGCATTGCTTTGGTGAAGCGCCGATGTACAGCAGCTGTGACACAATAGATTCGCGTAATATAATATTTTTTCAAGAACAAATAATATGTCTCACTACATCAAACACGTGTTAAAAAATGCAATTCAACAATTTGATCAGTACGGCAGCTATCACATAATACTTTCGTGCAATATAAGATTTTTTTCGGGGACAATTAAAATAACGGTGAGATCATCACACATGTTAAAAATGCATTTTAGCATTTTTGCACAAGCGCCGATGTATGGCAGCTGTAACACATTAGGTTAGCGTAATATAATATTTTTTCAATCTAAATGTCTCGCGGTCATCGAACACATGTTAAAAAATGCAATTAAGTATTTTGATCAAGCGCCAATGTACGGCAGCGAGATCACGTCGCAAAATCAAATGATATCTGCAACATTTGCGAAAAATAGACCACACCCATTAGTTTCGGCATATAT